CTGCGAAATATTTCTGCTGCACAATAACCTACACACGTAATAAAATCACAAGCTAACCTGAATATGAAGTTGATTTCACAAGCTTGTTCCTGATCCGTAACCATTCCTCTCTTCTTTCTTGATCGCCTGATCGGTGATCCACATAAAAAAAATCAAAACAGTGTAAATATAACGTTGAAGAAAATGACAATGAAGATTTGTTTAGGGAGGGATAGGGTGGGAAGAAGGGATTCGGGGGAGTGGGGAATTGAGGGATTGGGGCATTGGGGGATTGGGAAGAAGTGGAGAAATACACGGGGTTTTATCACCTGATATCTAATTCGGATTAAGAACTCTCGAAATTATTGCAGTGTTGTTTTTTTTGGTATGATTCAAATTCATTTCCCGCCTCAAGGAGTACTAATTTCCGTGATGTTTCTGCATGGCTTTGGTAAACTTTTCGATGTATCACGTAAGCTTTAAGCCGGGAAAAATTTGATCAAACACGGAAGTCAACGATTCAAAATCCACTGATTTTTTTTCTTTACAGTCATCTACCTTATCCTACATGGGAGTGTTTCTCCTCTCGAGAAAATGAATCCTTCTGGAATGTTGCCAATCCATCTGTTAGCATTGCAAATGTTTACTCCATGACACATTGCTACGTATAATTCAAATGTAACTAGCACGCACATTTAAAATTGGGGCTTTTTCTCTGAGGTAAATTGTCATTTTCTTGCGAACGAGCACGGTGACCTATTAATTTTTTTCAGTTTCATGCAACTGAGCAATATCAATGTTTTTTTTTCTCTGAAATAAATTTAAACTCAAATTCTCAGTGTAGGGGAGGAAACAATTTTACGGAAAATCAAATTGAGTAAGTGCTAGTAAGCATAATAGACATAATATTAGTAGAGGTAACAACATGATATAGAGTGCACTTTGGTGTTAATAAGCACGAGTAAATTTTTCAAAGGCAACAAAATTGCACGAGCCAGTAGGGGGTCGGAGGATTTTGATTTTCACCATAAAATTTACCTGATCTCCACTAAGGTTCTGAAATCTTTTCATTGGCACTCAATTTTCCAAAAAAATCTATGACGCGCTCCCAAGATCCTCCACCCTCCCCTTCCCTCACGAAGATATATAATGACCAGTCCCTGAGGTCATTCCCCTGAAATAGAACCCGCACTGAGATTTTTGTTTGGTCGGTAAATAAGAGATCTGAAGCCGGCCACACACCTGGCGATTTTATTTTATATCAGGTGTGTCGCTGGCTTCAAACAGCGCGGTTTAACAACTTTCTCGAAGTTAAGAAAATTGGCATGGTCCGTTAATGATATGAAAAATGCAGACAGATGTGTCTTAATGAACGCATCCTAAACAAGTTCAGCTTCTTAATAAAGCTATTACATTTCTATCTTTTGACTTCCACAAGTAAGTTTACGATGTTCTATTAAAGAGCTAAAACAGCTTCTAATGCCAAAGGAATCCAAAATTATCGCACGGCCAGCGGATGAGGGTAAGAGGAGAAAATAAGACATGGACTCAAAATACGAGACGATGGCGAAGAGCGATTGTTAGAACAAATCAATGGCAGATCGAGATCCTGGTTTAGGGATCGGTCATAATTTAATCCCAGGGGAGGGGAGGGGGAAGTAGGAGGATTGTGGTTGTGTCACAATAGAATTAACCTGATTCCCCCCCCCGGCCACAGCACTTTGTAGTATTCCCCCTTTATACTTAACAAGCGACGACTGATCCCTCCGAAATAATAATTATTCCCTAAGGTAACGAAGTTTTCAAGGTTTGCCTAAATCAGTCGCTGAGGTATAACATTTAAATATGCTGGAGATCGATATTTCACCCGACAAAGCCAGGAGCCCATTATCCCTCGGTTATGGAATCTCTATTGTGACTGGGCGTCTTTAAGTTACCATTATTTTCAAATCTTTTTAGTATTAAATTTTCCCCCAAACAAAAACATGCAAAGCCTAGTGAATTAGCTTCATGGAAAATTGAAGTTTTTCAATGTCGTATTTACATTTACTCGAGACAAATTTCCTTACACTGTTCAGTTCACCGACAAATTAGAAGAAATTAAAATTAAAAGGCGAGATTGGCTCATCGACACATTATACCTACTAAAATTTAGTCGAGGCTCTTGAAAAGGGCACTGAATTGTTGATAACATTTATAGAGTGTAAGAGAATGAAATTAAATAAGTAACTTACTCGAGCTCTGGAAAGACATAGACTTCTGTTACTTCACGTTTCACTCAGTTGGTTTGTGGTCGCGGTCCGGTCACCCACGTGCTTCGGTTTTTTTCCCTCCAAAACCGATATTTAAGGCCATCCAACATCAGGGGTTCAACTGACTGGCATTAGGACTACCTAACGCTTGTTACAAAATGATTTTTCTCACCAAAAGGCGTAATTTTAAGCCAAATAGGCAACGGAAGCTCGAAGCTCTACGTTCAAAGTTTCATACACAGCTAAAATGAATATCAATTGAGTGTCAACATATTAGCAATGCAAATCAAACATTCCGTTATCTCACGGTCAGTCTTCTGAATGAAGTTATAGGAACGGTAGGTGTGATTTCTGCTGTTGATAATTTTAGTTGCTCGTATGTTATTCGGGAAAAAATATATAATGACAGGAATAAAAAACCAAAAATAAAACAAATTAGAATAAAGAAAAACAATAGCTTGTTAAAAAAATTGAAGTTAGAAAGTAGAATCTGAAAACCAATTCCCAAAGGCATGAAAACCAGAAGAGGGCTAAACTCAATGCTCACCTGAAAAAGGAATCCAACTCGGGCCGCTGTATTGATTCGTACTCTGCCGCAGTCTTTTACTCTTCAAACCAATCAAGAAATAGACTGATTTTAGACCCAGCCTGCGAGAAAAGCTCACATTGGAGCAGCAACACGAGTGGCAACGTCCGCGCGTTTCATGGGCGCGAGAGGTATACGACGGGGAACTTTCGTTCACTCACTCTACCAGCTGGAAACACGTAGGCTTCATCGCTCTTGTCGCAACGCCCACAAGAGCGTGCTCGCGGGCTACTGTAGACTGCAAACGACAGTGAGCGTCACTACATGATTTGACTGCCATGAGTATCAAACAAGACCATAAATTTCAACATAAAAAAATCGTGTATAGAGAAATTTTCAATTGAGCGTCGGGAGTAATCCGGGATTATTTGCTGGTGCTTTACCTAGGTCTGTGATTGGTCTAGAAAACTCCCGCCATCCTCTAAACCAATCAGACCCTAAACAAAAACCAATTGTGACATGGTCACCCGCGTTTCCCCCGCTTTTGTCAGTTTGCCTGCTTCTACTTTGACGCATGACCTTTGTTATGATCGTCATTACTTTGATTTTCGTTTTACGACAGTCAATTTATAATTGCTGTTTCATCTGATCTACCGCAAACCTTGCATAGGAAGCCTGGTTATCTTTAACCCTAACATCAGTATCCATTTTCTCCACACTTTTCTACATATTTCCTACGGTACTGACAAAGAGAATTTGTTTAACAATCAAGAGCTTCTTTAGTTGGTGATCAATTCCTCTTTTCTCATGACTTCAATGTTTGTTTTACGGGTTATACTGATAGGAGAAATTAGTTGCTAATCAATCTTAGGGGTTAAAGGGTTAAGAGCCTGTGAGGCCAATTGAACTTTACTATGCGTACCGGCGTACAAAGGGAAGGAAGAGAGGAAATATTTAAGTACAAAGCGCAATACTTGGTACAAAAAGCTCGTTTACGAAAAAAGAGGTTAGAATCCAAACTCAATAGAAAATTGTATTTTATGGAGTTTCGGATGTCGTTACGGCGATGTGTGGTAAGCGTTGCCAAAAAAACGTAAGTTATTTTCCTCTAAGACTTTTGCCAATAGCTCGATGCGTTAACCGTTTTTGACGAGACAAGTGCGAGAGGCACATGGGGTGGGCCACACGCAATAATCGTCTCTCGAGCTCTTCCTGATCTCCTCTATCTTGCGCCAGGCTCTATTTGCCTCAAACCTTAAGCCTCAGCGTGAATGCGCTATAAGACACGAACTTTTAAAACTCATCTCAGAGTAAGTGTTAACCACTGAGTTGAAAACGTAATTTAGCCACCGTAAAGGGTAAAAAAGCTGACGTTTCGAGCGTTAACCCTTCGTTAGCCCATCGTTAGCCCATCGCTCTGACGAAGGGCTAACGCTCGAAACGTCAGCTTTTTTACCCTTTACGGTGGCTAATTTACGTTTTCAACTCAGTTGTTAACACTTAATTACCTGCTATACTCTCCCACCAACGCAGCACCACAGTTTCTTTAGAAACTTACCCCCTTTATTCATCTCGGAGTTACTTGGGCATTATATCATTGTTTCTAACGACAAGTTTTTTTTATGTTTACGGGACTGGAGTTTTTGGGCTGCCAAGCTGTGACGTAGCTTGGATTTGAAATACAAGTGGGTCTTCAACGGAACGATTTTCTGTGCTCCTTACGTGACATAGCTTAAACCGCTGCCCTACTTTATCTATAATTGCCGCGAAAATGACCGGCAAATGGAATATCTAGCTCTGAAAGAGATACTGGTCATGTGGATTCATCAGATAAGTGCGTTTTCGTAAACCGGAATCATAGGGGGTGCATGTTGTTCTAATAACCGTACCAACTACGAAAACCCAAAACAAACGACACAAACGCCATCTCTAAACTTCTTTAATGATCAGCCGACTTAATTGAAGGTTGGGACAGAGTTCATCGTCTTCAATTACAAATACAATACCTAACGGCAACCTAAATTGGCTAAGATTGTTTATGTTATAAACGATTTAGACTATGGATAATGGTCAAAAGCATAACTTCGATATCAAGTCTTGCACAAAAACTAGTAATTGAAACTAATTGATTTCAGAGGAACCATCCTCCTAGAATAGTCTAACATTTGAAATAAAAAATTCATCTAATTTTGAAACAGTAATAATTTATTTTTCCAAGTTATGTAAAAATTCTGACAGTTAGTGGCAGGTTTTGATTCTATTTTTCATTTCCGTGATCTGCTGCGGCTCGTGCAAAGCGTCACTAACTGCACTCTGATTGGCTCTTCACAGGAGTCCATTAATCATGTAAACACCAAGCCTCCCTCATGAAAGTCTTTTGCCTAGTTTAGGTCACCAAGTGGTGTACATGACCCAGGTTATTGTAAGACACTCCGACATCAGCATGCTCAGGTCCAAGATTTTTAAGCTTAATAGCCAGCGCCCTCCCGAAAAAGTCTTTCGCCTGCCTTAGGTCACCCAGCTGACTGTGTACATGACCCAGGTTATTGCAAGACACTGCGATATCATCATGCTCAGGTCCGAGATTTTTAAGCCTAATAGCCAGTGCCCGCTCATGACAGTCTTTAGCCTGGTTTAGGTCGTCTAGCTGACTGTGTACACGACCCAGGTTGTTGTAAGACACTGCGACATCAGCATGCTCACGTCCGAGAGTTTTAAGCTTAATAGCCAGCGCCCTCCCGAGAAAGTCTTTTGCCTGGTTTAGGTCACCCAACTGACTGTGTACATTACCCAGGTTATTGTAAGACGCTGCGACATCAGCATGCTCAGGTCCGAGATTTTTAAGATTAATAGCCATTGCCTGATTGAGAACGTCTTTCGCATGCCTTAGGTCACCCAGCTGACTGTGTACAATTCCCAGGTTATTGTAAGACGCTGCGACATCAGCATGCTCAGGTCCGAGGTTTTTCATGTAAACATCCAGTGCTCGCTTGTGACATTCTTTTGCCTGGTTTAAGTCACCCAGCTGACTGTGCACATTACCCAGGTTATTGTAGGACGCTGCGACATCAGCATGCTCAGGTCCGAGATTTTTAAGCTTAATAGCCAGTGCCTTCTGGAGACAGTATTCCGCTCGCCTTAGATCACCCAGTTGACGGTGTACGAGACCCAGGTTATTGTAAAACGCTGCGACGTCAGCATGCTCAGGTCCGAGGTTTTTCATGTAAACATCCAGTGCTCGCTCGTGAAAGTCTTTTGTCTGGTTTAAGTCACCCAGCTGACGGTGCACATTAGCCAGGTTATTGTAAGACGCTGCGACATCTGCATGTTCAGGTCCGAGATTTTTAAGCTTAATAGCCAGTGCCTTCTGAAGACAGTCTTTTGCCTGCTTTAGATCACCCAGTTGACGGTGTACGAGACCCAGGTTATTGTAAGACGCTGCGACATCAGCATGCTCAGGTCCGAGATTTTTAAGCCTAATAGCCAGCGCCTTCTGGAGACAGTCTTTCGCCTGCCTTTGATCACCCAGTTGACGGTGTACGAGACCAAGGTTATTGTAAGACGCTGCGACATCAGCATGCTCAGGTCCGAGATTTTTAAGCTTAATAGCTAGCGCTCGACGGAGACGGTGTTCCGCTCGCCTGAGGTCACCCAGCTGACGGTGTACAAGACCTAACTGAACTTTCAATGCTGAACTTTCAGCTTTAAGCGTCCTGACAATTGGAATCGCACAGGGAGTTTCTTTGTCTTCGTCGAAGAATCGCTTGGCTGTTAGACGGGCCAGCTGAGAATTTCCACTTCCAGGATTTCCGGCTTTGAGCGCTTTGAGGTGTTGTGTGACTTTACCAACCTCCGATCCGCGAGGGGAGACGTCTTGTGTAGGTTCAGGAGGAAGAATGCAAAACGGGGAGACTTCGGTTTGCAATTGTTCTTCAAGAGTCTGTTGTTGATTCCCTTTTCCTTCAATTTCTTCGTATTTTTGTTGGAGTTTCGATCTGTTTTCTTGAGGATCCTCTTCTTTTTCTTGAAGTTTCGTTTCGTTCTCTTTAACCTCTTGTTGAAGGTCGTCAACTTTCTCTAGAACTTCATGATTTGGTAGTCCTAAAATTGTCGAAAGTGATGTATGGTCATTTTTGTTACCCGCATTGCCTACACATAAGGCAAATATTCCATTTTCTTACCTTGATCAACTTCATCTGTGAACACAGAATCGTTTTTTCCTTCGTCTTTTTTAGCTGATTGAAACTGTTTCTCTGATTCTGTAGAGAAACAGTTTTCCCAATGATTGCCGTCTGTGGAGATTACACCAATTAGTCGGTTTTAAGAAACTAAGCATTTTCTAACCTTTCGTCTAACTCTCTCCACATATGCACACACTGACACATAAAAAGTGCACGAAAGGGTCAGTGTTAGCAAGCATATAATGTTTCAACTGGCTATACATTTTGGCCTGCTAAATCCCTTCGCGGCCTTCCTTGCATATCAACAATGGACGCACCAACTGTCTCGAACAGGCTCCTCCGCTCAGTAAGTCCTGCTCTCTAAAGCACATTATTATAACCGGAGATCACATACCGATCGAACCAAGAGAGTTTTGGAGTCTCGCACTTAAAGCCTGAGTCCCTTGGCTTGTAATCAAGATTAAACGTTTTAATCAAACATTCAAAATTTGGTACTTCGCATAGAACTTTTCTCCTCTTTCCAAGTTTCCAATATTTAAAAAAATCCCGCATATCTTGAGCTTAAGACATCGTCCAGTGGGGAGGATTTATTGCAGTGTGATTCCGTTTTTTGCAATTTGGCACACGTTTCCTTAATTAATTAAGATTCACTTTAATGAACTGTATAGAGAAGCATCTCCTAATTCAAATGGGAGCATTTATTCACTGTAATTTTTTCAAGTCTTTGTAATTTCAGGAGAATGGTGAGTGTTCCTCTAGAGATATTTATAATCAATTTCCTTACATTTTGTGAACTTTTTATATTAGCTTAAGGGCATTAAAGAAATTAGACAGGCTTATCTCGTTTACTTACTTGATTGATTTTTTACTGCCTCTGCAAGCTCTAAAATATGACTTGCTTTTAATTGTTCTTCATTGACGCTCAAATCTTCAGACAATCTAAGCATAAAAATCAAATTCAGACTTTTAATTACTAGCTAATTATAAGACAAATTTCAGTTGGGTTCACTTTCCAGTTAATGTTGAAAATAAAAAAAACTGTTGGTACTGAGAAACTCTAACCAAAATTCTCACTTAATATGGCTAGGTTTTATTGATAGCTGGTTCTTGGTGGGTTCTTAATTTGTTGTCTGAGTGTTTTTTGATTGTGTGTTTTTTATTTTGGGGTAAGTCCAGTATTTTCTATTAATAATGGAAAGTGGACCGAGTAGCGTCCAATTTGGTCTGTAATTATAGGAGTGTTAACAAAATCAGACGATCGCGAGGCGGGAGTCCATGTGTTCATCATGAGTATGAATACAGACAAAATTGGACGGCACGAAGTACTGTTACCAAGTAATCAAAACTTTGACAAAATTTGAGAATGAAACTAGACAAAGGTTGTACGTTTTCATAAGAAAAAACAACAACAATTAACTTGGCGATATGCAAGACAACAACGCACACATGACGCGTTCTGTCCACTTGCACAGACATGACGTATTAACTGTCCCCTTAACTGTCCTATTACATTTTGTTATAATTTTGATTAACTGCGATCAAGAGAGAATAATAGTCCCATTGTGTTTTTCTAGCTGCGATTCAATACACCCCGATACACCCAAATATAAAGTACAGCGGAAATGACGACCTAGTCGGTTATAAAGTTACATGAAGTTCAAGTAAACACCGAACATTCTTGGGGCCAATCAGTCCACTTTCGTGGAGAGGTTAAAAAAAATCACGTGCCTCTCTGCTAAGGCTATCAACTAACCTGCAGTGACACGAGCTTCAGATCTTATTAACAATTGCTTATATGAGTCACCAGTCATTTCCAGTCTAAACTGTTACAGATTTGAAGTTACTGTAGTATGTTTCAAAGTCTCAAATGTAAATACAACTACCTTTACACTTGAGATAAACAATTTAAGATGTCATTTTTTTTTGCTTAAAAAGTAGTCCCTAAGGAATTGCAATTGTAAAAGAAATTCGAATTATGCTCCTGAAACAAAGTAAATAGGTTAAAATCAAACATCAAATTGAAGCAACTTCTTCAATTTCTTGACTTATTAGTTGTAGTTGCTGGCAAATTCTCATTAAATGGTAAACTCCTACGAAGCAGCCACTTGTCAAGGTTTCAAAGATACATGCAGTTGAATGTGCTCTTCGTAACAGTAGTAGGTGCGAAAAGGACAGTGCAAATTGAGTCCTCTTTGCTTTCCAGAACTTGAGTCACGCTTAGCCTCAGCCTCAACTGGGATTTTTGATTCGGATAGCCCCTTACCCCATAATCATATTATCATAATTGGTTTATTTTCAATGCCATTATGATAGTTTAAAATGAGTATTTAATGGAAATATACACGATACCTTTTACTTATGGACTCAAGGTACTGCGCAGTATCTTCGTGGCCAAATGCTCTCGCAACATCTTCTGGTAATGGAGAAGTATACCTGTAGGCGTTGAAGACCACTTTTCCAGCTGACGAATTGAAGACTAATTCAATGAACTGCCGAGTATTAGTTTCCGCTGCTGTATACACCAACAGCAGTAAGCCTTGAAGTGAATTTAGTGGATTCCCTGAATTTATGCACCCTATGAAAGGAATTTTGATGAAAGACTTTTGGTGTAATACAATGATAAAACGATATCCAGATAATTCACTACGATCATTAGACAATTTACTCCTCATCTCGAAACAAATAAGGATTCTATCCCGTTTAGGGGTAGTGTATTGTTGTGAGGGGTGGTTGTCGTAGCGAAAATTTTCTATATGCGGCCTGCCAAATTTAGAAGTTTGCTCGAATTGAAATCTCCCCCATGTATTTAGACCCAGAGATAAAATAAATATCTTACAAACCTTGTTTTCTCGGTCCGCATTGTAAGTTATGGAACCTTGTTTTTTTTTCCGCCCAGATTTATGACCCAAGCACGAAGCGCGCGGGCCATACAATGTAAATCTGAGCGGAAAAAACTCTTTCCGTAACTTACTGTGGGGACCTCGAAATCGATTAGTAAGAGGTGTATTTCAAAGGAAACCTACTTACAGCCACATGCATCTCGCCAAAAAACCCAACACGCACTAAATGGATTCCAATAATCTTTTTCGTAAGTCCTTTATGTGTTTTTATAACAAATTCAACGTTTACTTGGGATTGATGAAAGACGTCAACTTGTCTCTCATGCTTACCTGAACCACGGGATTTCGTCTCTTTTTCTTTGCTATAAGTGGAGTACCCTTTACAAGCAGTTTTCCATGTTTCGAAGAAGGTGTGAAGCTGCTCTTTGTCCTGGACTATTTGCTTGAGAAGCTCTTTGCGTTCATTGAAATAATAAATTTCTGTCTGCCCAAGATAACTTGATTTGCCAGTCCTGTCACTTTTTCCATTCACTTTTACAGTGACCCAACCTTCTTCCTCAGCGTCTGGAATTCGAAGATTCAAAATTTACATCTTGATACCATTTATACTACTGTGCAAAACAATGATGTTATGACTATCATCTCAAAAGCAGTTCACGGCATTGAAAACAAACTGACAAAATGTGGGTTTATGAAAACAAACCGTGTCAAGTTTTCGTCCTGTGTAAGTCTCAGATATAAAAGATCTGTATAAAAATCTTCCCGGTCTCATGAAATGGGTTGTCTTAAAATTTTTTGAGTGAGTCGTAATCTGTGGGTTAGTTTTAGAGACTCTTGCTTGAGTCCAAATTCATTTCACTACAAACGATATGGGTTCCAGCTGAGTCAAATCTAAAAAAAGCGAACTTACACTGTACATGCAATCACATGCCTGCTTGGTTTTTCGTAACAAAGTTAAAGTGGTTAAGTAGCTTGCCTTAGCAAAAAATGGTTTCCAAGTTTGGCATTTAACATAGGACGTCCATGCTTGCGCATTGCTAAAATTTCTAACATCAAGCTCAAACATCACGAGTATTTTAATACTTGACTCAAATCAAGATAACTTTACTTACAAGGAATTCTTCTTCCAACAAGACAGTTTGTCTTATGTTTAACTCCATTCAAATCAATAGAGCCTAGACCACAAAACTTAGCAGTTCCAGAAGTAATGTCTGACGGTAAGTCTGGTTCAAAAGTGAACCAGCAAGATCCTCCACCCTATTTAGGAAGAACCGCAAAACTACCTTAAATTTCAAGAAACATACATCTGTAATTATTTTTATTGGACATTCACACAGTTATACTTAAAGCTGAGAAATTTCTGAAATGTGATTGGCCAGGGAAAGTAGTATTTCAGGCAAATTTGAAATACGAAATAGTAAATTTCTAATTTTTAAACAATAGCGGAAAGATTTCCCGATGTGACGCGAAAGACCGGCTACAACTTAGGGAAAAAACAGAAAATGAAGAGGATCTTTTTTCATTTACAAATTTCGGATTTTGGAGATTATGGAAGGAACACAGTACTGTATGGGTTTATCGGTTTGTAACCCCTTTATGGCTTTGGAACAGTTGGAATTCAGTTCTAAAAGTAAGTAAGTTTGCTATTAATGTTTATTGATGTACTGCTCTGTGACTTTTAGTTGCTCTTAATCAGATAAAGAACTGTATTGATTTACCACGTGGCTTACGCCATTTTTCATGCTCTGATAATTATTAATTCAATTCGAAGATTTTCAATCGCTTAAGCGCTGTTTTCCGTTTCATCATGTGTAATGTAACGCTTAAATTTCAGATCGAATAAAAAAAGAATTTAAGAATTATTTGGCTAAATTAAACAATTTACGGGACTCCATCGATCTGGTTTGGGTTTCACTCTAATGGAACATCAATAAAAGCTTATAAAATTAAAATTTCCTTTTACCTTCAAAGGAGTCTTGGCTGGTTCAATGCTTACTTCATAACAGCTATTCCCCGATAGATTTAGAGACAAATTTCCTTAATAACAGGATAAGTGAAAAAAATAATAGTCTTTGATTTAGTGAAGAATGATGGTTCCATTTACCATAGTGCCTGCCTCTGTCACACACCTGTAATTAGGGTTAGTTGATCTCCTTCCCTTTGCTCACACATACAGACAAACCAAAGTTTCTCAGAATGTAATCAAAATAATCGGAGATTCCTATCCTTAAAATGCAAAACAGAGGCACTGAGTGCGGTAAAGTCAAAACTATGAAGACCATGGGCTGAAGCTCCTGGAAGCTCTGTGATGGGAAGGGCGTCCCCCTTCAATTTTACAGCTAAAGGCCTCTATAAAGATGCCATTTCCTGCAGCTAGAGATCACCAACAATTGCAAACCTTACTAAAGCGAAGTTTTCACACTCATATCGTGATGCCCGAGAGGTAAAACAAAACCCTAAGATACCCAAATAAATAGCAAGGTATTGCTTTAAAATGGTAAACAGGAAGGAACCGAAATTTCACACCGAAAAAATCACATGATGAGGCGCCACGTGTTTTTCTTCTCTGTGATTTGGTTCATTTTTTGCCCTATTGGATATACGCCAACTAAATATAACATTTATAGAGGATGTATAAGCCAACCTGGGGCCCGGATATGGAATTTTCATGAGTCTCAAGAGGACCAAATCATCGAAATTCATGTGTTTTACTCTGGCACTGACTTCAATTCGTATTGCGAGATTAGCCATATTTGCATTGCAAAACTGAACAGTTTTGGATTTTCCCCAAGAGACCTTCATTACTTGCAGAGGAACAATGAAATGTTTAGAGTTACTTGTGTGAAATTTCAACCGGTGATTAGCTAAGCTGTAATGAGGATGCAGTGGAAATTGGGACTTTATGTCCTACAGGCTTCCGTTTACTTCATGTTTCTCGACATGATTCTATCACCTCTATTCAAGGAAAGCCTTATTGTAAACACTCGTATTAGCGAGAATTTTGAGACTTTTAGCCAATGGACATTTGCTTGAAGAACATCGAGTGTGTTCGTATCCTGTGTATTTATCATCCTCCAGACGATAGCACCTATCCACTTTTATCTGAACAATTCTCTCGATTTTTAGAGCTATTTTTAGCTGAGTACTCCAAGAGCCTAATAATTGCGGATGATTTCAACCTTCACCTTGGCGATCCTCGTGACAGAAACGCCAAGCGTTTTTTAGACATAATGGATATTTTTGGCCTGAGACAACATGTCTATAGGGCCACTCACAAAAAAGGCCACACCTCTGATCTACTTATTACTAGATCCGAGGGCTCATGAATCAGTCGTGTTATAATTAGGCATTCTGGAATCGCCGATCATTATGCAGTGCACTGTGATTTGCGTCTGTAGAAACTTTGCTTTGTTAAGAAAACAGTAACGTCTCGCAAGCTCTGCTCTATCGATATGGACTCTCTTTGTAGGGATATTTGTGATTCCAGTCTCTTCCAGGATCAATCTGAAGATTTGAACGCCTTTACTGAACAATATGATGACATTTTGTGCTCTATATTGAATAACCTGGTAATAACAAAAGGAGACGTCTAGAGCAGAAGTGGGGCAAAACGAAGCTAAAGTGCGACCTTGAGCGCTATGTGCTCCAATGCCCTGTTGTTAACAATCTGATTAGTAATCTGAAAACTACCTACTATAGGGAGCTCATCAAGGAACACTCTGAGGACCAAAACGTTCTATTCTTCACTGTAAACAAACTGCTTCAAAAGGAAGCCACAAAACGTTATCCGCCCTCCCCTAATACTACCACTCCAGCAAATTATTTTGCTGACTTCTTTGCAGGGAAGATTGACGCTATATATTATACGCTTGAAGAGAAACTGGTAAACGTGGGTCGAACTGACATAATTTCGTATGATGATTTTATATAATGATTTTTAAAGCGTTATGGACAATTAGTGTAATAACACTGTATAATTAAACTTATTATTTTTAAATAACTTATAGTGGAAAATATCTTTTCTTCCTTTGTGAGGGAAAGCTCCCCAAAAAAAAAAACTGAGAATATTTTGCAAAGGAAGCGAATGATCGCTGAATATGGGAGGTTTTCAGCAAAATACATGAGCCATGCTGGAATCTCTTTCAACCTATAAACTACAGTACTTACCATTATTATCACATCTGTCAGAATTATTCGAAAAGGGGAACCATGACTTCAAAGATGACCACCAATTACTTCCTCTATTGCAAGCAGCAGTATCTGTCAATTAGGAACAACGGCATTTTGAATGAGCATGTAATCTAATTTCAATTTGTTCCATGACTGGTTTACAGAAATTTCCTTATAATTAATTTCCTAGTTTAATTTTAAGACCACAACCTTCCCCAAATAATATCGATGACCTCAATCACATAAATTTGCAATAAAGTTTAGATATAACGCGCGCTGTCATTGGTTGTAGGAGCGTGTTTTAACAGAGTACAAAACACGGAGCTGAGCTAAAGCTGTCACGCCCTCTGCCAATTTGTGCAATGTCCGACCATTTCTTGGACTTCTCCGGTATAAAGATTTGCTGATCAAATTAAAAAACCTATTCGACAGTTCGAAAGGGATGATGTCTCTTTAAGTAAATTAATGCGGCATCAAATCTCTCTGCACAACTAAAACTTCTGTACAGTTTCAATACAGAGAGGTCAGTCTTTAAACAGTGAGGTGATTTTTCGATATTCTCATCGCCGGGTTGCTTCGCAATTTTTCTATCAAGTTTGCGTATTAAAATTTTACTGATACAGGTTACTTGGGGACCGTTGCTGGAGATCAACTGAACATCGGAAACAGAAATCCCTCGCACGGTTTTTTAGGTTGGTGCTTTAGGAGTCTTTGGACCAAATGTCAAGGCGATCTGCGAAGTTTGCATACATAATTAATGCATTTAAAGAAGACATATTTGTAAAAAAATAATTAGGTGTCATGCACTTTTTCGGTTGACCACATTTCAAGTTATATCAACCCCATGAAAACTGAAAATGCCGACCACCAATGGAAACACACAGGCATCCTGCGCAGTCTCGGGAGACTCTCCCAAAAACATATTTTGCCTGTGACAGACATTTAGTTCAATTTAGCTGAGCGGAAATTTTGATTTCAAGGTTTTCTATTTTTAATTAAGAAGCAACCTAAGTACTCCGTGGCGTTAACGCTCGAGATATCAGCGGTGGCCAATTTACGTTGGCAACTCAGTCGTTAACACTAAATTATTCGCTTTCCCCATTCAAAGTCTAGTTTTATACACAGACATGCAGTAGCACAGATCACTTCCTGCAGGAACCAGGTTGTTTCGGTTGTAAATAACTCCCACGAGTTTCAATATTTTGCGAAACTTTCTCGTGGAAACTGTGGTAACAATAATACTGCTTAGTTTGATAAAAAAAAATTGGCCCTTAAAAATCTGCTATATTCTCGACTCATGGGAATTTACGTAAGCATACTTAAACCGTATCATAGGCCAACACATCTCCCACAGAGAAACAGTGAACTCCCTCACATGAGTCTCTGAGTTATCAAGCTTAAGTGAACTTGGACTTATCAGTGGGTTAATTTTAGCCCCATGAAAATTTCTCTACAGAAGTAATGTCCTTCACATACCGTGGGCGGACTGTAAAGTATGCTGATAACCCATTGCCAAATTTCCCTCCAACTCTTGTTGTCGTTCAATCACCATTCCATTTTCTGAAGTGGTTCTCCCATTTTCAATTTCAGTTGCATGATGATAAAGTGGCATTTTTCTTTTACCTATTACGATATGTTAAACGATGAAGATAATTAAGAATAGTCACAAGAGAGAGCAATTGTATTCGTACTAATGTCATCAAATAATAACTATCAAATAATAAGGGTGTCGTGAGTAAAATGATTTGACTTAATTAAGTTTCGAAGGGTATATTAAATACACACCTTGAGCGGATGTGTCCTGATCCACAGAGTGGTTTGAAGGTTCTTGTTGCCATGTATCCTTGCTGGAACTTGATGTTAATGTACCACCATCTGCCATGATAAAAAACCCACCGCTGATCAAATTCTTGTAAAAGAGGTCACTAGACAGGATAACAAAAGTCTTTATAGATGTGCTTCAGAGAACAAAAATCTCTAGTTTTGTATATTTACCTTGTTTAGAACAATCCTTCTGTTTTTCTCCTTTTAATGCTGATTCCCCTCCTCCATTTCTTTCATCTGGTTTTTAGTATACAAAAGGAGAAAGTTGCGATCTCTGTGGCCATTTAGCATGGGAAATATCAAAAGAGTTTGCCATTTAAGAAAAATTATAAGGAAAATGTTTGCCCTCCAGAAGGAAAATGATGAATCGCATTTTGGAAGTTAACATAGGTACAATAATTTTGGGTTTGATCAAATCAATAATTATTCAAGGACTGCACGCTGCACATCCTTACATACATTTTCCTGTTAACTCAGTCAACACTGTTGTCAAACCAGAGCTACGATTGAATGTGGATGATGTGGTACTCTCTGGAGTAAGTAATTTGCTGGATCTTTGGATCCCTGTTGTGTCCGTAGCAGGGTTGTAACTAAGAAATTAGGCTGCCAGCTGAAATTTCAAGAGAGGCGTCTCAATGATAGAGAGCGGCAATTGTGAGTGTGTAACCTCAGAGGTGCCGTTTATGATATAACAAGCATTTGCCTGTCAAACATCCAGCCGAAAATTACTGCTTTTTCATCTATGTTACAGGCAGCCTGCACTTAGTGACAACCCTGTGAAGGCGAAAAAACTTCAGTGCAACAATGGCTCTATCCTTCCATGAGTACCAAGGTGGGTAATCAACTTGAAGAGAAACCCGACGAAAAAGGCCTCGTTTATGTTTATCTCTAACTCAGCAAATACTCCGCCAAGCTCGCCTCATAGGAGCAGACATGTGAATTTCAATCGGAAAGTGTTCCCAAAACATTAAAATCAAAAGAATACCAGATGAAAACAACAATAAAGTGACAAAGACTCATGAATACTGCAGCACAAACAAGGCCACGGGACGAATGTTCAGTAAATGATGTATAATCATGCTTAAGAGCTATTCTGAGATAGTTACCACGATGGACTTGAATCAAAAGCAATATAATGCACTACTGGACACAATTAGCTGGGACACTTCTCCAGAGAAACGTCTATGATGTTCCTCTGCCCCTCTCCCCCTTCCAGTGCTGTCATTTGTCAATCATGTGTCTATGCCATCTTGCAAACCAACATTGAAAGGGAAAGGGAAGGCAGAGATGTCCCAACAAATGTATTTGGGGGTGTAGGCCAGCTCCTTTGTGGAAATTAATTTGGATTTCTGAAGATAATGAACCAGATGAATAAATTGTACATATTGCTGGTAACGTTCAAGACCTTAAAGATGACTTGCAAATACACGTACGCTGAACTAACCGAAAGTTACCAACCTGAAAATGCCCGTGTTCTATCAGTCTCTGAAAACAGGACAAAAGAAATCTGCTCGTTGCTGCCAAGAGTAATGGCACCCACAGCAACTGCCTCGCCCTCGACTGTGATTGTAATTGGAGCTCCAAGGCCTTTCCGATAATCTTTGTGAAATCTAGCGCTTTCCATCTTTCCGGAACTGTGGTCAGCGAGATATGTTTCTTCGTCCGTGATCCCCTTAACCTGGTATGGTCTTATGGCAAATGACTCTCCCCATTCCTCAACGACGTGACAGTATAATTCATGATTGCTTAAATCTTCCTTTACTTTAGTGCATAAGGGAAACGGACGGTGATTCATCAAACCGGAAGTATGTTTCCTAATCACGCCGAGTTTGTTTGGGTCAATAGGGACAATCGAGAGGCCTGATTTGAAGATCACTTTGTCGGACACCATACCAAGTAGTCTCTTTGGTCCTTTTTCAGTGTATTTTGACTTCTTGAAATACAAGTAGTAGCAACTCAAATCATCGGATGAAATTACCTTGTCGCTTGTGACCAGATGAATTTTTTTATCACACCTGGGAAAGAAGTCCTTTATGAGGCTCCCGGTACCAATGAACTTACCGCTCTGCCGAGGAATGTGTTTCCATATCCCACAAGTAGCTAAAATGCACTTATCTTCCCTTCTTTCGTTGTCTTTTCTCGATGCATGTACAATCGTCGGAGCGTAGGAGGCTCCACTCGAATGTGACATTTCTTTGTCATCAGACCCTCATTTTCCTATCTTTAAAAATCTAGGAAATGACCGAGGATATGCATACCTCAGCATGGCGCCAATACAATTAATCTTTCCCAGAATTATCGCATTCAAATTAAAAAAATCCGTACGATACGTCATTTTGATGAGACGTAGAGTTATTTCATAAAATTTAAATTTAAAATATTGCTAGGGAAGAAAAAAACTAGAGGAGATGTGCAACCCGTCAAATATAAAAAAGTGAGTTGCCATGTGAGTTGATGACTTCCGCATCACTAACCATATCAAGGCCAAAATCAGCAATGTCTAAACAGCAAAAATTGTTTTGAAGACCAACAATTGATAGCCGGAATTAAACGACACGAATCTTTTCTGAAATAGATTTATCATATCTAGTATGTATCGAGCGGTAATTAGAGTTCTTTTATAAAGTAGCTCTTGTAAGATGTTGTTTGCCACGTGCATTTGTTTACTCGATCTGGCAGAGCATGTGACTTAAATCTGTAATGATAATTGAAATAAGTGTGTGTTCTATACATCTACTCACTGTTCCAGTTACGAACCTACAGTAAAACCCGAGTAATTTGACCTTCCATGAGAAACGAAAAACGGGAAAAAGGAAGTTTCATGTCATTGAGATTGGTGTTGAATTTCAATCCTGCTGTTAATAATTAGTAAGGAATTATGTATATACCGTCATTGCACAATCAAAAGCCATTTTCGTACTATAGTTTTTTTTTTGTAGGAACCCTACGTTTAGCTGAATGTGTTACGTTTTTTATACATGTTATCGCGATCATATATATTTTTTTATTTTTCCATTCTCTTAGGGTTGCCTTTTGACGATTGTCCGATTCTTGTTTGAAGATCTCCCGTAGGCCTTCAGTCGGTGCATCGGTGACAGTGTAAAAGTGTAATTCAATTGCTCTGCGGTATATTCCATTGGAGCGGCCATATTCAGTCAGACCCTTTTCAAAGGCACGGTGTCTCCTATTTCAATTCGCCTATTTGTTACACTTTGTTGATATTATCCATGGACTTAGTTTAGCTTAGTTTAACATTTACTCCGATTGTTAGTTGGGTGAGGCTCAGAGAAATTTTAACCGTACTGTTGTCACGGGCAACCTTCGTTTCCAGTGGTAACCGAATCCCAAGAGCCGTGCGTCACCAACCGTCAAACGTGAAAGTCCACCAAGAGAAGTCAAAAGGACACGAGCTTATTGCCCATGACAACAATACGATTTTGGCGCCAAAACTTGGTCGCCATTCCTCTTCCGCACCTCGCTTAAATGAAACTCCTAATATGTACTTGTTAACA